CTCTTCTCAGCCAGACTGGCTGACCTGCTCCACCGGGCTTTAAACTAAGCCTGCCGGGGGACGGCGGGACTACAGCCACTGCTGGCTCACTGAGCAAACTTTGCAAAGCCAGCAGCCCAAGGCACTTAAGGGAGCCCACCCCTACCCCAGCCCTGGAACCATCTGCAGGCAAGGCTAGGGCCCCCAAGGGGACATTTGCCTGCCTGTACACAAATGCCAGGACCTTGGGGAACAAACAGGAGGAACTTGTCCTCCTGCTTAACACAAATAATTATGATGTCATAGGAATAATGGAAACCCGGTGGGATTCCACCCATGACTGGACCACTGGTATAGATGGCTATACCCTGTACAGAAGAGACCGAAGGGACAAAAGGGGCGGGGACGTATCTCTCTCTGTTATGGAGAGTTACGCATCCCTGAAAGCCGATATTGGCAACCAGTGTGGATGACTGGAGACCCCCTGGTTTAAAATCCACGGGGAACATGGCACAGGGGCCAGAATGGTGGGAGTCAACTACAGACCTCCCACCCAAAGTCAAGAGCTTGACTAGGAGTTCACCAGGGAATTGGCTGAGGCAGCATGTTCCCAATCTATGGTTGTCATGGGAGACTTCAACTACCCAGATACCTTGTGGGAAGAGCGCTCAGCCAAATCCGAGCCATTCCAAAGCTTCCTTTTGTGCATGGATGACCTCTATCTGACACAAGAAGTCTATGGGCCAACAAGAGGTAAAGTGCTGTTCGACCTGGTGCTGACAACCAGGGACTACCTAATTAGCGACCTGATGATCAAAGGGAAGCTGGGTGACAGTGACCATGAGCTGATCACCTTCACCATCTGCTGTAAAGCTGGCAAGTCAGTCAGAAATACAAAAGTCCTCGACTTCAGGAAAGCTGACTTTTACAAGGTCAGGGGGCTTGTTGGTGGGGCCCTAAGGGACCATGACCCCAAGGGGAGGGGAGTTCAGGAAGAGTGGTTGCTCCTCAAGGGAGCGATCCTAGATGCACAAGCTAAGGTTATTCCATCTCGGAGGAAAGGCAGCAAAAGGTCACAGCAGCCCCCTCAGCTCAGCAAGGAACTAACAGACCTCCTGCATCTAAAAAGAAAAGACGTACAAAGGATGGAGGACAGGATCCACCTCCAAGGAGGAATATTCCATGCTGGTCCGGACCTCTAGGGAGTGAACCAGGACAGCCAAGACTGCGACGGAACTCCAACTGGCTACTAGTATTAAAAATAATAAAAAGTCCCTTTTTAGATATGTGGGGAGCCAAAGGAAAAGCAGGGGCAACATTGGACCCCTGCTAAACTAGATGGGACAACTGATGACTGACGCCCAGGAAAAAGCCAACCTACTAAATGGGTAATTTGTGTCAGTCTTTCACCAGTCCCATGGGATGCCTCTGCCCATCCTGGGACAGTGAGGCCCAAGTGAGGGAGATTCCTGGCCCTCTATCAATGTTGACCTCATGAAGGAACACCTTGAAAGGCTGGACACCTCCAAGTCAGCTGGCCCTGACAATCTACACCCCAAGATACTCAAGGAGCTGGCTAGCATCATAGCTCAGCCCCTGGCATGGATCTTTGAGAACTCCTGGTGCTCTGGTGAAGTGCCCGAAGACTGGAGGAAGGCCAATATCATACCTATCTTCAAGAAAGGGAGGAAAGTGAATCCGGCAAACTATAGGCCCATCAGCCTGACCCCTATCCCCGGGAAGGTCTTAGAAAAGATTATCAAAGAGGCCATTCTTAATGGACTGGCCAATGGCAACATCCTGAGGGATAGCCAGCCCAGGTTTGTTGCAGGTAAGTCTTGCTTGACAAATCTCATTACCTTCTATGACCAAGTGACCTATCACCTGGACGAGGGAGAAGAGATTGATGTCATACATCTTGACTTCAAAAAAGCCTTCAATCTGGTATCCCATGATCACCTCTTGGCAAAACTGGCCAACTATGGCCTCAGATCCACCACTATCTGCTGGCTGGGGAATTGGATCCATGGTTGGATCCAGAGGGTGGTGGTTAATGGACGTCAATCGTCATGGTGCCCTGTGACCAGTGGGGTCCCTCAAGGCTCTGTCCTTGGACCTATATTGTTCAACATCTTCATTAATGATGAAGTCAGAAGCAGACTGGCCAAGTTTGCCGATGATGCCTAACTTTGGGGTCAAGCATCCACAACTGAGGACAGGAGGGCAATCCAGGCTGACCTCGACAGGCGGGCGAGAACCTGATGGTGTTTAACACTGAAAAATGCAAGGTTCTCCACCTTGGGAGGAAAAGCCTGCAGCATCCTTATAGGATCGGCAGTGCTATGCTGGCTAGCACTACGGATGAAAGGGACTTGGGGGGGTCATGATTGACCACAAGATGAACATGAGCCATCAATGTGATGCTGCAGCTAGTAAAGTGAGCAAAACACTGGCTTGCATCCATAGATGCTTCTCAAGCAAATCCCAGGACGTCATTCTCCCATTGTACTCAGCCTTGGTGAGGCCGTAGCTGGAGAACTGCATCCAGTTTTGGGCTCCACAACTTAAAAAGGATGTAGAAAAGCTTGAGAGGGTTCAGAGGAGAGCCACGGGCATGATCAGAGATCAGGAAAACAGACCTTATGATGACAGGCTGAGAGCTATAGGACTCTTCAGCCTGGAAAAGCGCAGGCTCAGGGGCGATCTGATGGCCACACACAAGTTTGTTGAGGATGTCCACCAGGATCTGGGGGAACTTTTTTTCACTAGAGCGCCCCAAGGGATGACAAGGTCTATGTTATAAACTCCTGCATGACCAATTCAGGCTGAACATAAGGAAGAATTTCTTTACTGTCCGAGCCTCCAAGGTCTGGAACAGCCTGCCATCGGAGGTGGTTCAAGCGCCTACTTTGAATGCCTTCAAGAGAAAATTGGATGCTTATCTTGCTGGGATCCTATGACCCCAGCTGACTTCCTGCTCCCAAGGTAGGGGGCTGGACTCAATGATCTTCCAAGGTCCTTTCCAGCCCTAATGTCTATGAATACAAGCAGGGTAGCTAATCTTCACCCTGAGAAGACATATTAATGAGCTCCATGATATTCAAGGACTCTTTTCTGGATTATATTCATTATTCACAGCCATGCTATATTAAAAAAAACAAACAAACCCTTCTCATCTTTCTCCAGCAGTGGATCACCACACTAGGGACATGCTGAACACACAGCTTGCTGCAGAAATGATATTTTGCTGTCACCAGGTTTCATTCTTCAGCACGTTCTGTCGTCTTCTTGGTACTAACTAATCTGCTAGAAAGCAGTTTTATTACTTTAACAGCCTGGAAAAGCCTTTAAATTTTACTATTTGTTTCATTTAACAGCATTGTTCTATTGTCCAATATTAATTTTAAAAGGTCTATAAACATAGGATTAGAATGCCTTTTTTTAACAGACCCATTTGTTCCTGGCATATACAGGGTCTATTTTCATGAGCTTTACTGTGATCTGCAGAAGATTATAAAAATCACTGGAAAATGAGGTATTTTATGAATGGGCAATGCAAGCCAAAGCTGGAGTTAAACCCAAGCTGTTCAGCACCTTTCAGAATCAGAGACAAAAAAAGAACTACATCAGCAGATAATTAACCAATAAAGGGAGCCAGGAAAATGGGAAGATGGGCAATTTGTATATTGGTGAAAACATTATCCTACATCTGAAATCTGCAAAGTCTGTCTTTCTCTCCCTAACTACTGCTAAATCGTGAATTCCATAACCCAGACTCTCATCTAAAACTCCTCCTAAGCCTCCACCACAGCTCATATTCAATTTTTTCAAGCCTATCTAGCACTTGTGCAATTTAATCACTCTCACGACTCTGACCCCAGCACTCTCCCGCCCCCAGCTAAGGCCTTATTTATATTGGTATCTAGTCCCCTACTACATCCTACTTTGGCTCCACATCCTCACTTCCAAGGATCTGAACATCATCTGCTTACATACGTTCTTTCACTGCATCTTAGATTATACCAGCTCAACCCATTTCATTTATATCAGACCAGAATCTTCTCCTGGGCAGTCTTTCCTCCAAATCCTTGTACTACTGTCCACAAAACCAAGTTGTGTCTAAAAGTGATTTTTTTTTTTCTGATGCTGTGTACCCAACTGCCTGCTAACTGACTTGTTTCCCTCAAACCACAAAAGCAGTTATAGAATTTTAAAATTTCATAACAAAAATTAAGACGACCAATAAGATGTGCAAAGAGCAGTTATAATGTCCTTTCACCTTTGTTTAACATTTTCACTGTTCCCACTCACCTATGCTTATTAACTCTGCTAACATTTAA